ATAGCACCATACCTCTGTCGCCTCTGGTTTATTTTCATCGGAAAGTAGGTTGTTCCGCATTCGCTGTCTAATAAGGGATTAGATATTAATTAAAAATCCAATATCCAGAGTATGACGATAAACTAAATCCGGCAGCAATGTCTCTGATCGTAGCATTGGAGATTTTGAGGAATGTGGGGCCACCTCTTAAATGTTGATGATCCCAAGTCCACGCTGACCCTGCGTGGTAGCATGTTAGGGGTCCTAGCTATTGGCAAATAGTGAACGCCCAAATTTATAGCAGAATAACCAACAACACATTATATAACAAAATGACCTACAATGCAACATTACAAAAAGTAAAAACTACATTTTTATAGTAAAATTACCAGAATACATTTTATGATGTACAAACTATATATTAAAAAAAACATAATTTTATTTTGAATGTCTAAAGTTACGTAAGAAATATTATTATAATATTATATAATAATAATTGATATAAAATGACAATTGGAAAAAAATCTTTGATTTTGCCGACGCGTTTCGTCTTCCGACTTTTTCACGGCAAAAATGAAATCGAAATGTTTTTGTTGTTATAGTTACATTAAAAAAATCCAAATTTAAAAAGATAGACGCTTGTGTCTAAGCCTTTTTTTCTGGTTAATGTAAATAACCTTTATAGTAAGGGATTTTTTTCCCATGTCGACAATATAGTTAAATTCCCAGATCAATTCTGTAGACAAGACAGATTGGTATAAAATGACAATTGGAAAAACATCTTAGATTTTTACGACGCGTTTCATTTTCCGACTTTTTCAAAAAAAAAAATCCCTTACTATAAAGGTAATTTACATTAACCAGAAAAAATGGCTTAGACAGAAGCGTCTATCTTTTTAAAATTGTTTTTTTTTAATGTAACTATAACAACAAAAACATTTCGATTTCATTTTTGCCTTGTCGGCAAAATCTAAGATTTTTTTTCCAATTGTTATTCTTATTGCCTATCTGTAAAAGCAAAATACTGCTGCATTAAGACTTTTCTTCAATGCAATACAGGAAGACATATATATAAAATATCATTCATTTTTTGTTCTTGTTATTCCGAAGAACATTTTTCTCTATCTTAATGCTTTGCTTTGTTTCTGGAAGGCATCTTTCTTCAATCTGATGCTCAATCGCATTCATGTGTTACATTTTCCGTTGTCTCTTACTACATGTACTATATTTAATTTGTCGTCTTAAAAGAAATTAATATAAAAAAGGGAATTACTGTCGAAATGCCCAGTTATTAAAGTACATAATGCGGCGGCCAACAAGGGAAGTACTCACGTTAATAGGCGTACCTTTTTGGTTGTATTTAATGAAACCTGTAAAGAAGAGCGATTGCTGCCCAAATAAAAAATAATTAAAGTGCATAACCCGATATACAACAAGGAAAGTAGCTGCCGTACCTTGTCAGTTGGTTTTTATTGAAACTTGTATAAGAAGAGCGATTGCTGCCCAAATACACAATTATTAAAGTACATGACATGATATCCAACAAGGAAAGAAACTGTCGAATTTTGTCCGTCGTCTTTAACGAGACATGTATAAAAGAGGAATTGCTGTCCAAATACACAATTATATATATATATATATATATATATATATATATATATATTTTGCGTACTTGCTTTTGCGAAAAGCTGTCTATGTCATAGAGGCCAGATCACATTTATCCTCGCATGACAAACATGGCATGTAATGTACAGTCGACATCTTTTCAGCAAATGTAATCTGTGCTATTTTTCTAAAAAGAAGGTCACCTTGCATGATTGTTTTGCGACTGCTTTGTCAGTACAACAATAGAACAACAAGTTCTTCCGCCTCAATACATCAAATTCATAACAGTCGGATGATTGTTTTTCGCTAGCCCTCTTTATACATCTAGGCACACACACACACACACACACACACACACACACACACACACACACACACACACACACACACACATATATATATATATATATATATATACCTTCAAGTGGTAATTGGTTAAGTTTATTGAGATATCTTCTTTTCGTATGTTTCCGCGCCAAATGCACTGTCTGACTGTTCCCAGAAATACACATTCTTCTTATTTACTGTTTGTTCATGTCGACTTAATAGAAAATTCTTGATATGTTCTATTCCAAATGATACTCCCAATGCATCCGACTGCAAATATACAGATAAAAACAGACATTTGTAGCCGGCTACGTCGCTCGGCTGTTCCGAATGGATTGAAGAATTCCCGGGGAGTGACCAAAACGTCGTTCAAATGTCGCGCAAGAGAAATTTATTTTCTGCAATGTCAAAAAGCCCAGGATGAAAACGCTTCCTTTATTCTTTGCTGAATGGATCTAAAATAAGAATTAGTTATATAGATATGAAAAGTTTGGTATAGATATATAGATAGAGACCATGCAGTTAGATAAAATCTGACCGAGATAGACAGATATATAGATAGATAGATACCTATGGAACATTTGGTATAGATTTATAAAGACCATCCGTAAAATAAAGCTTTATTTATTGAAATGACAACAGATAGATAGATAGATAGATATTAACAGGCTAACAGATAGATACCTTCAAATTCTGAAACATTTATTTTTAAATGGAAGTATGTGGTTATTAGGCACGAACTCTATTTTAACTATTTGCATTTAAATGTTATTTAGCTTTATTGTGTGTTTGTATGTGTGTTTGTGTGCGTATGTGTGAAATCTATTGTCGGATGGTCGGCTACTAAACCGACTTCAATTTATTGCGAATGAGTTGGCTGGTTAAGTAATAGTGTATGATAAAAAAAAAGATCTATCATAGTTCGGTAGAACACTTGAAAATTAAAAGGCGAGGTAACTAGCAGTAGTGTCTCAACAGAATCACCGAGGAGAAGGCAACGGTAAACCACATCAGTCTCAATCCCAAGAACTTCGTCATTTTTGCTATCTCTCCTAATCCCTGTTCTGCCAACCATATGCACAATCTCGTTAGGTAGGTTATTCACCGTTTTCCTCTGAAACCTCTTGCCTTTAATAGGTGCTCCGAGTTTCAAATTTTCTATGCCCTCTTTCCTCATTAGGAGCCATAGAAAGTTCGGCTTTCTTTTTCTGGTGCTAAATGTAAGCGTATTTTTGTATCCATTTTCTCTAAATCTTCGTCTTTGCTCTTCGGACGTGGCTTGGTACCGTGATGCTTTGTTAGAATATACATTTATCATCACCCTGCTCCTCTTCGACCAAAGCGCATCACGAGGGGTTAGGGGAAAAAGAGTATGTCATTTTACGAGTATCGAATTATTAATAAATTATTGAATCACAATTATTGAATATCTTCAAATCATGTTTTGAAAAGATAAAATGACAATATGAAATATCTTCTAAAACCAAGCTCTCAGTGATCAAATTTACAATGTGGTGTTGATTTTAGTATCCAAAGTTGATATTTAGGGGAAAAAAAACTTTATGAGTTTGTGTGCGTGCGTCTGTGTGGTTGTAAAGCAACGACTCAACTGATAGTAGGAGATAGGAAACGCGAGGAGGGTAACCGACAAAATAGTGTCACACGTCCAACCTTCTTATGAGCAATAAACACAGTCCTCAGAAACAAAAAAACGCGCCTGCTTTATACAGCCGAGGACCGACCTCGATTTGCATGCGAATGACGAGACAACGAGATTTCTCGTTAACTGTCCGAGACCGCACGGCATAAAACATGGGCGCCGCCATTTTGGTTCTTTTTAACCGTTGAGCAATCGGAGATTGCACGACGCACAGATTCGCGGGTGTTTCTGAGGTAGGCCAGTCTGTTTGCTTGTGTGTGTACATTTTAATTTGGATCACACAATACAATAAAGAAATGAAAACGAACCTACTGTTAGTCATTCAGATTTAACTGGTCAACAGTGTGCAGTGATATCTAAATCTGAAAATAAGATGCCCTAGACCAAATTTTGTTCTTGCAGAGCATTAATGTATAATCATCTCATCACCAATTATGACAGAGCAGCCAAAAGAAAGCCATTTCTTAAATTAAACTAAGCATAGAAAACAGGGGCGATTGGGACGAATGGACAAACAATAGATGTCTTCAGTTGATCGTTTATTATGGCAGAGCAGCCCAGGACACAACTATTTAAAAAATGATTGAAGATTAAGCAGAAAAACACAGATGCCCCCGACAATCTTCATAAAGCGAAATGAAGAGTCAATCTTCTGTCTGTCCGAATCCTCTTCTTTTATTGTCCTTTCTCCTTACTAGTGAGTTCTAATTCTCTTTCACTCTCAGTAACCCCTTGCGTCTTAGCATTATCGACTTGCCTGGGGTGAAATGATTAAAAGTAAGGAAGGAGAGAAGACGCAATCACAGAGAATAACATTTCCCCCGAATTTATAGTTTTTGCCAATATCCATGTTTGCCTGTGGAAAGTTTATATCTGGTGCAAGAGATGAGATTTCGACCGTCGAAAAAATATTGAAATATGGACAATTCCAAATATTTGAAAATTACTTTAAAAATTAGCAAATCAAACTCTTTGTCCCTCGACCTACTTTATAAAAGATTACCCGGTTGTATCTGAAGACAGGCATTAATTTAATTACTTTTAACCTAGAATAGAAGACGAACATCCATCACAAAATAAAAGAAAGCTGTCCTTTGCAACGTAAACAAAGAAGCCGATGGCTAGTGATGTCTCCAGATGAGCGCTAAAAAAATAGTCAGTTCATTTTAACAAGAAAGAAGAAACAGCAGGGCGCGTCTAGCTTGAAACAACCGCCTCTCGGACACCAGAGCCTTGTCCAATTAAAATAGGGTAGAAACCATCCAAAATAATTAAACCGTTAATTAAACATTTGATTTCAAAGTCATTGGGCAACCACTTATTATCAGGGACAAGACGACCGTCTGGGACAAGAAACGAACACCAATAAAAGACCTTCAACGAATTACCTTTGGGGAAAAAAAAAAAACGACCTTTAATTAATATATGTCTAGACAGAAAGAAAAACATCCCCGGCGCGGAGACAGAAACAGGCCCGGCCCGTCTTATTGTATGAAGAGTTTTTCATTATCAGGTATCCATTTAATGGTGTCTCGTTCACGCATAATGATTCTGGCATTCGTCCCATCATAAAAGAGACGCTAATAGAACACAAGATATAAAACCATTCACACGCATTCTTATCGAACGATATGCAAAAGTTCTCAACCGTTTTTTAACAAATTATTTGGTTCATATCAATTCACAGCATCATTATTTAGTTTGTAAAATTATTCACATCGCCATGACTTTCAAAGTAATTCTCACCAACTGTCAGCGACATGGATACTCCATACGATTAGGTTCATGCATATACTTACAATTAAAGATTTTATCCCAGAATTTCAATACCACAGTATTCAGTGATGAAATATATATATATATATATATATATATATATATATATATATATATATATATATATATATTTATATATATATATATATATATATATATATATATATATATATATATATATATATATATATATATATAATATATATATATATATATATATATATATATATATATATATATATATATATATATATATATATATATATATATATATATATATATATATATATATATATATATATATATATTTATTTATTTTATATTGCGTCGGAAAAATGTCGAAATTGTTTAATATTTTTTATTGTTCAATATATATATATATATATATATATAGAGAGAGAGAGAGATACATACATACATACATACATACATACATACATACATACATACATACATACATATATGGCATAATGAGAAGCCACTTATACTTTTCTTAATATGTCCTAACAGTGGATATATTTGTGAATCTGGAATAATTTTAGATTTCGTTTCATCAATCATAAACAAACCATACGTCAAAACAATCCTTATTCCCCCATAGCTGAACACGTTAATCAATCAGGAAAATCATTAGAAAACTGTAAATGTTTATTGATAGATTCTGATTTCAGTTTCATATACACACGCAGAAAAAAAGAAAAATACTGGATTTTAAAATTAAATACATATAAACTAGGGTTAAATAAAGGCTTGGCTATTTTAAATCTTTATAAATATTTCAATAGTTAAACATTTTTTTAGACATAGTTAATTTTTAATTTTTATTTTTTTAAACAACATCTAAAATATTATTACAGTTAGATTTACGTTAGGAATATTCGAACACAGTGGCTTTCCATATCACGTGACGTCCGCATCTCTCGACGGATGCTACTTGTAAACAAACAGTTATTTCTGAAGAAAGATTGAGGTCTATCTGAAATATCAAATATATATATAAATAAATACTTTCATAAAAAAAACATTATTATTTTTTTAATTTGCAACTTTTTCTATATATATATATATATATATATATATATATATATATATATATATATATATATATATATATATATATATATATATATATATATATATATATATATATATATATGATTTAACCAGTAGAGAAGACAATATTTATGAATAAAATGACGCGTCAGCAATTACCAGTTTTCCTATATATATATATCAACTGAAACAGCAAGATTGTCCAAATCGTTTAACACCATAATTGTCAATTTAACAAACTGTTTCATAAAAAAAACTAATTGAGATTTTTTTACAGATTTTCATATACGACGTGAGAATCACTGAAAAAACCCTTTGAGTTACTCAGCTAGAAAGGAAACAGGTTAAAATCGTTTTGTGCCTGCACCACTACCTTCCCAACTGAGCAATGAGGAGAGAAAAAAAGATCATTCAGGCCTTCGGTAATGGTATCTTCAAAGCCCATTTAACAACCATTCAAGATTCCAATTCAGCCGATTTCCAAAACATCGGAAACAATGCTGACCAGTGGTTTTAACGAATTTCCAAAAGCTAGAATTCATTATGCAAAACAGCAAAGTGCTGCTCGCGACAAGGGACAATGTAAGCTTCCTCCAATAAAGCAGTACTAAAGGAAACTCTTACCTGAGCTGAATGTGGGCGAGTATACTCATCAAAATCTGGCTTGATTGGTTATGCATTTCGAGGCAAGACAATACAATCTATCACCATGATATCCAGCTTAATTTTACTTGCAATCTATGCAACAAAATGTACGGGACAGCGAGAAAATTTAATCGACATTAAGAAGCAGGTCCCAATTCTGCCAGAGGGTGCATTTCCTTTAATAAGATTTCTCGAATGTTCAGACCGATAAAGGAAAGGAAATACGATTTAAGATAAACAGAACGTCTATTCAGCTATGGATAGCCACTAAAAATAACAATTGAAACAATATATATATATATATATATATATATATATATATATATATATATATATATATATATATATACCCCAGGTATGAATAAAATAGCAGATCAGACTGGGATCTATAACCTTGGATGGCAACTGGTCTAGGACAACTCTGAATTCAAAACCAGCGGAGGGTCGTTTAGGGACCTTGGAGCACACGGTCTATCAGGTCTCTGTATTCGGCTCTTCAAAAGTGTGGTTGGTTCTGCACAAAACCGTCACCACTAAAATCTGATAATATGGGCAGGTTGTCTGGTTGTTGGTTCCTGGGAACTGAGTGGTAAAATGGGTTCCCGGTAGGCGCAGGTCAACTGCCCGCGTCGATCAACGACAGGAGAGTCCACGATATATATATATATATATATATATATATATATATATATATATATATATATATATATAGATAGATAGATAGATAGATAGATATGAGAAGAGTGAGATAGATAGATAGATAGATAGATAGATAGATAGATAGATAGATAGATAGAGATAGATAGATAGATAGATAGATAGGTGTGAACAGACTGAGATACATAGATAAACAGATAGATGCAAACAGACTGAGATAGATAGATAGATAGATAGATAGATAGATAGATAGATAGATAGATGTGAACAGATTGAGATACATAGATAAACAGATAAATGCAAACAGACTGAGATAGATAGATAGATAGATAGATAGATAGATAGATAGATAGATAGATAGATAGATAATGAAGAGACTGAGATAGATAGATAGATAGATAGATAGATAGATGTGAACAGACTGAGATACATAGATAAACAGATAGATGCAAACAGACTGAGATAGATAGATAGATAGATAGATAGATAGATAGATAGATAATGAAGAGACTGAGATAGATAGATAGATAGATGTGAACAGACTGAGATACATAGATAAACAGATAGATGCAAACAGACTGAGATAGATAGATAGATAGATAGATAGATAGATAGATAGATAGATAGATAGATGTGAACAGACTGAGATACATAGATAAACAGATAGATGCAAACAGACTGAGATAGATAGATAGATAGATAGATGTGAACAGACTGAGATACATAGATAAACAGATAGATGCAAACAGACTGAGATAGATAGACAGATAGATAGATAGATAGATAGATAGATAGATAGATAGATAATGAAGAGACTGAGATAGATAGATAGATAGATAGATAGATAGATGTGAACAGACTGAGATACATAGATAAACAGATAGATGCAAACAGACTGAGATAGATAGATAGATAGATAGATAGATAGATAGATAGATAGATGTGAACAGACTGAGATACATAGATAAACAGATAGATGCAAACAGACTGAGATAGATAGATAGATAGATACAGAGATAGATAATGAAGAGACTGAGATAGATAGATAGATAGATGTGAACAGACTGAGATACATAGATAAACAGATAGATGCAAACAGACTGAGATAGATAGTTAGATAGATAGATAGATAGATAGATAGATAGATAATGAAGAGACTGAGATAGATAGATAGATAGATGTGAACAGACTGAGATACATAGATAAACAGATAGATGCAAACAGACTGAGATAGATAGATAGATAGATAGATAGATAGATAGATAGATAGATGTGAACAGACTGAGATACATAGATAAACAGATAGATGCAAACAGACTGAGATAGATAGACAGATAGATAGATAGATAGATAGATAGGTAGATAGATAGATAATGAAGAGACTGAGATAGATAGATAGATAGATAGATGTGAACAGACTGAGATACATAGATAAACAGATAGATGCAAACAGACTGAGATAGATAGATAGATAGATAGATAGATAGATAGATAGATAATGAAGAGACTGAGATAGATAGATAGATAGATGTGAACAGACTGAGATACATAGATAAACAGATAGATGCAAACAGACTGAGATAGATAGATAGATAGATAGATAGATGTGAACAGACTGAGATACATAGATAAACAGATAGATGCAAACAGACTGAGATAGATAGTTAGATAGATAGATAGATAGATAGATAGATAGATAGATAATGAAGAGACTGAGATAGATAGATAGATAGATGTGAACAGACTGAGATACATAGATAAACAGATAGATGCAAACAGACTGAGATAGATAGATAGATAGATAGATAGATAGATAGATAGATAGATAGATAGATAGATGTGAACAGACTGAGATACATAGATAAACAGATAGATGCAAACAGACTGAGATAGATAGATAGATAGATAGATAGATAGATAGATAGATAGATAGATAGATAGATATTTGATTACCTTGGAAAAAAAGTAGGCAAACCAAAAATAAACATAACTTGGGATTTAAGCCCAAAATACACGGAGACTTTAAAGTCATTTTTTATTTATAGCAGAAATAATCTATTCTACCTTTTTGACAGCACTGACTCCGAAACTACCAATTGTTAAAAATAAATGTTAAAATGTTAAGTCAAAGTAAGAAAAAGATTTGAAATAGTTGTACAAAAACAAAAAGCCAATAGAGAAAGAAAACCCGGTAACTCCAGAACAACTTGAAAGACATAACTATAAAATTACATATATAAATACAAATAAAGATAATAATCAAAATAGATATTATAAATGAAATAAAGTATAAAAGAAATAATTAGGAATTATATGAAAATATTAATTTTAAGCAATATTAAAATTATATCATAGATTCTTTTGGTTTTTAAGTTAAATTTTGAATTCGTTTTTTTATCTTCAAAAATACGTGTTATCTCTCCTTCAGTTCAGAACACAAATATATATGTCTGTGCGTAGTGCACAACTTCGGAAATTAATTATCGATGTATACGAAGTATTTTCAGAATGTCTCGAATCATTCTTTTGCGCAGGTAGAAATATAGTCATATTCTATTTCAATTATAGAAATCTTCGCAATCAAATCCTATTTTCTTTCTTGCAGTTTGCAATAAAATACAATTAATTTATTTTCTGTTCTTCATTATTTTATTTCTTTATGTAATCTTTCTTAATTAGGAGTTAACCTCATATTAATGGTTTTGATTTTCATTAGATTGCCTTTAATGATATCATTTATTTTTCATCGGTTCGATTCGTTCGTTTATTTCAAAAAAGAATGAAAACGTCTTCCTAAGTGCGCTCAGAAAATTGTCTTCAAAAACTAATGAGAGTTGCGTGTTGATAACATCAACTCAGTATGATAGCAGGTCAGAAATAGTGGGGAAAAGCAAACATAAAACATTGAATATATTTAATAATTGAATCTCAAATGTAGCGATATACGATGACGCTCATTAAGCGATCTATTAGTGCATGACATCATTTAATTGGGCACGACAGCTTAAAGTATTTCGAGGCGACGTTCTTACGTATTTCTGATCAGTCGATGGATGGGAGGGTGGTGTATGGATAGCGGCTGGCAAAGAAAAATCGTAGAGACGCGTTCCAAGTTCACTTTTCTTCATTTCATTCGCTTATGCGCAGATACACTTAGGGAAGGCATGAATTAATTTCCTATCCTCAATTACAATAGGAGTTGTATTTTGGAAAAATAAAACTATTCTAAAAGCATCTGTCTATATTTCTGAGATGAGGTATTATGTACACTATTTACATTATTCGGACTATTGTCCTCGTCTTTGTCGCCATATTTATTACAACAAGGACACATGTCACAGTGGATAAAGGCGTTAGTTAGATCCAATGACAGTACCCAAAGAATGTGTAAGTAGGTAAATCAGCATTGAATCTCAAAGCAAGAACGCATAAGTAATTCAAACATAGGTATTTCGAATAATTATCATGCGAAAAAAATTGATTCGAATTATAAATTGTCTGAATTAAAATTAATCGGAACGACAATTACGCTATAATTGTCGTTCTGATTAATTTTAATTCAGACATTTTATAATTCGAATCAATTTTTTTCACATAATTATTTTCGGACAATTATATTCGAACAATTGTTTTCGAACTATTATTTTCGAACAATTATAGTCGAGCAATTGTTTACGACCAATTATATTCGAACAATTGTTTTTGAACAATTATTTTCTAACAATTATATTCGAATAATTGTTTTCGAACAATTATTTTCAATGCAAAAGAAAGTGGGAAAGAAGTAAGCAACATGCTTTATGAGCATAAAAAAATGGATGGTAGAAGAGGCTTTGGGAGAAATAACAAAAACACAAATCTTATTTAGAACTAAAATGGAAAAGAAGATGTGGATGTCCATTTACTGAAGGGATACGGTACATAAAAGAAAAAGATAATTATTTGACAAATGCTCATCTATCACTGCCAAAGATATATTGACGCACGTACGTAAATTATAGCAGTTCGTTTCCCGAATACTAATTGGTAAATATTGATATATTCTTATTTCCAAACTCTAACCCGTTCTGCCTATATTGTCAGCGGCACGCCAAGCTGATATTTAAAATGGTAAATTACAGACCTACTATTGTGAGGCTATAGAAACCTTATATAGATATATCATAACATTTGTCTATATTACTGAGATGAGGGATTATGTACAGTATTTACATTATTCGGACTATTGTCCTCATATATGTCGTCATATTTATTACAACGCTCCAGCCTTCTTCAGGTGGTTAGAATGTCAAACTGAACCCTTTATTTCGCTCACTAGGGTAGACTAAAGGACGCATGGCACAGTGGATAAAGGCGTTAGTTAGATCCAGTGACAGGACACAAAAAAGTGTGAGTTCAATACCTGGTTAAGGCAGTGGAGAATTTGGAGAGGGGAGTTAACAGAAGATAACTGACATCCATTAAACATGGCACGTGGAAATAGAGCAGTCTAAAATAGCGTTTATGTAATATATATATATATATATATATATATATATATATATATATATATATATATATATGTGTGTTATACATACATATATGTATATGGGTCATTCTAATGGTGTTTTAAAATTACCCTTTTTAATATTTAATATCACTTTCTCCTTTAATGTTCTATAATTAGAATTATGAGAGTGTTTATTTGGAGGTATTTTTGTTTTTATTTTCAATTGATAACTTAACGTAAATTTAAATATACCACTCTTTAAATATTAATATTAATAGTAAAATCCAAATAAATTTCAAATAAAATATAGGTAATTATTTACTAACGTATGTATAAATAATTTATGTATGAATATAGATGAACATTTGTGTATATTGTTACACGTGTGTCTATGTGTGTATTTGCGCATGTAAATAAACGTATGTATATATGGGATTTGCATGAATATGTATGTGATATATATAAGAAGAAAGCAAAATCATTAATATTAACCTCAAATATTATTCAATAATGAAACCTAAACCTTAAGTAAGGAATTTTACCCATATAATAATAAAGAAAAATTGCATTCATAAATTAGATTAAAAGTAAAACTAATATAGATTTTACCGTAAATTTTTTTCTTTTTTCTTTTTTACAATATTAAGGAAGTAAGATTGGACGGGTAAATAAACTATTATAATTTAAAATATTTCTCTATAAATGTGTTAATAAAAATAGTAGTTAACTTATATTAAGACCCTAAACTATTTGCTTGTAAAATTAAATATTTAAATTGATAACAATCATCAAATTTTTTTAGACATCTAAATTTCTATTAAGCATTGAAATCTATCCTTTACATAAATTGTTAAAACCTAATTACAGCCTCTTTCGATTGACTCCCCTCTCCTTCTCTCTCCTTGCTGTAACACTCATTTGTATATATCTGTATTACTGCTTTCTGTCTCCTCTTTCTTTTTCATTTGTCCTTTTTCTTTTCTCCCTACTCCCCTCCCATTTCTATATATCATTTCCGTTAAGTTAACCATCTAAATAGGTCAAGGTCTGGTCACTCCTCCTACTCCAATATAAAGTGCACTTGAGAGAGATATGAAATTAACCCCTCCCTATACTCTCCCATGTCACTTTACCTATCCCTCTTAAACCCCTGTTAAATTACAAAAACTTACACTACCCATCTCATTTTTCGTTTCATTTCATTGTTGAAAGTGCTATCTGATGATCCGGCGTCCTTCCAAAGGGACTCTGGTGAAATAAATTATTGTAATGGTACCTTAAAGTGGTCTGTTTTTCTTTTATATATATATATATATATATATATATATATATATATATATGTGTGTGTGTGTGTGTGTGTGTGTGTGTGTGTGTGTGTGTCTTTCTGTGTCTGTGTCTCTGTGTCTGTGTGCGTGTGTGTATGCTTTCAAACGCTATTTTTTAATGGATGCAAGGAAGATATCAGGCAAACGTCATACCAAATGAACCAACGGGCCCCGGTGACGAAGAGGTAACGAATTAGACTCGATATAGCACCGCTCGATCACATATTTTGTGGTGGAATTCATCTCTTTTAACCATAGGACTGTACCCCCACGAGCCACAGCTACTACTCCCAAGCCGCTCCATCCAGAGCATTAGAAGCCGGTTCAAGCAAGGCTATACAGATAGAAAGAATTAGGAGGGTTTGAAATATATATATATACACCCCACACACACACACACACACACACACACACACACACACTCACACACACATACATATATATATATATATATATATATATATATATATATATATATATATATATATAATGCACTCTCTCGTCGGTTACATATGAGGATCTGACAACTTACTTGATTCAGTTATTTTGTGCGATAATCTTAAATGGCACATAAGTCCCGCTTGTGATTTACAAAGGAGACCACATATGGAGCAAGAGTAAGGATTGCGGGTTGAGATCACTATTAGATTGGCTGACCTGTTAGAACTTGCTCCCGCTTCTTGAAGATGATTCAGACAAGCTGATTGAAAACTTCTGAGTCCACTAAAACACGTTGATCTCCATTCTACCCGCTACAAGGCTAAGCGCTCGAGAGTGTTATGAGGTATATTGACAGCTGACAAGTTTTTATGGACCTTTGTCCTTGTTTTGATATTAGTAATCCTCCCCCAACTTTTGTAAAAATATTTTGGATACACCCTGTATATCCACCTATTTAGGTCTATTCTATCTATATATGCATATATAATTATATTATCTATAACTACACACACACACACACGCACACACACACACACACACACACATATATATATATATGTATTAAAAAGAAGGGAGAAACCTCAAACGTTTTTGGTTGTAATGTGGATTTTTAAAAAAATATTATGTTTTATTTTCCCCCAAAAATCAAAATTATGGAAAATAAAACATAATATTTTAAAAAATATCCACATTACAACCAAAAACGTCCCTTTTTTAATATCCACACTTTTCTCTCGTTGGGACTATTATAACCTCTTCCCTTTAAACACACACACACACACACACACACACACATATATATATATATATATATATATATATATATATATATATATATATATATCGTAATATCTTACATTAATTGCACAACTCTGAGCTTCATAGGTTTTGCATTCATTAGGTGCAATTCTGTGGGTTGACATCGCTTCTATAATATTTCTGTTTGTCGCGAGATATTTTATAAATGGTAGTGATAAGATAATGGAAATAATGGATTAACAAAAAAGTTAAATGTGTTACTGTCTAATATTAACAATTGGTGAATACTAAAGTTATGAAAAGTAATATATATATATATATATATATATATATATATATATATATATATATATATATATATATTAGCAATACTAGTATAGAAAGTGCCTGAGTCCGGCTAGAATATACTAATCTGGGTTAACGTGTTTCAGTAGAAATTAGGCTCTATGTAGGCAGGTGCTAATTAACCCACTTCTTTTGTTTAAGAGATTAGGATAGGTTCTTTTTTCAGGATTATTAATATATATATGAAAATTTTATATAGCTAACATTATTTCTATGCACGACTTTAGAGAGTGTTCTAGATCTGAAGCAGAGCACACTCTAAAATAGCGTTTATGTAATATATATATATATATATATATATATATATATATATATATATATATATATATATATCGTCGGTGTGTGTGTGTGCGCGTATGTGTATGCCTTCAAACATTATTTTTAATGGATACCCGTATTCAGTATACACTCCGTTTTTTAAACGGTGTGTATTTTGTCTGTTTACCAGCGCACTCAAGAAAATGTTCCTTACCTCAAATGTCATGGACTAGAAATATGTAAACAAAGCGTCAGGTAGCACTGTTGTGTACCTTAAGTTTGTGACAACACCTTTAAGAACACAGACATAGCTCTCCACATATTCCTTTCCATTTATTATCTCTTAATTTTTAATAGGAGGCATGCTGGAATAAGCGGCTTGGATTGAATTATAGGAGAGCCGAGTTCGAATTCCAGTCGGATCCATTACATTCACTTAAGTGCTAATACTCTTGTGAATGTTATGAATCCTCTTCTCCCATCCCCAGCTATGGGTTAATAGTAGTACAAACAGGGTTGTTGGGGTCCGTTAGGCTATCTTGCCCCTACGACCCGTATTTAAGTAAAAAAAATGTTAATAGCAGAATTGTTTCCCGTGGCATTTACGTGAATATAACAATAAAGATGAGGACTCAGTCCGAACATCATAAATACTTTAAATTCGACAACGTATCGAAAAGCTGCCTGATAGGTGGCAGAAAGACATTGCCAATAAGGGTGGATATAAAATTAGATGAAATGTATCTGTACTTTATATATCTTGAACAATAGAGTCGATAAATGAAACGGAAGCTATCTACGACTCTACCTAACAACAAAAGGAGAAGTGACCCCATTTCTGTCAGATAAAGCATGTAACCACTTTTCCCTGTGTTCTCTCCTGCGACAAGAATACCAACACCAATGGCGCTTTGAGACTAGACAGTTCTCCTATAGGGAAACGAAGGCTGGATCATCTCCTCATATATGAAGAAGTGGCTGAAATATGGTTACAGGGAAGAATGATGAGATTGCCATGTTGCAGTTTTTTGAGTATATATATATATAACTAGTGAGCCTGTCAAAATGACTTGACTCACTTTATAGTCCACCAATAGAAGGTTAACCAATCAGAAGACGTAGAATATTCAATCCGTCGTGTATAAAGGCGGCCATTTTGTTCACTCTACTCGAATGTCCAGTCCAGCTTGTCAGGCGAAGAGAAACAGAAGGACGAACTATGCTCTGCTACTTTTACCAAAATATCCACTGCTAACCTGAACAACGCTTTCCTACTGTCTTCGAAATATTCACTGCTAACCTCTGGATTCTATACTCGAAGACGACCGTCATCATGAACAACATACCATGCACTGAAACATGTGGGCATCGACGAAGTTTCACAAAAAATGGAAACAAAAAGGACACTTATACTTAACATCAGTGATTCGCAAACTGTGCAGCAAGCCTAAGAGATGCGTCGGCAGAAGATAGAAGGTGAGGCTGAAAGATAATCAAAGTTTTAGAAACAGTTTTTAAAAAAAAATCATATGCTAAAAATGAATACAGGTTTTCAAAATGTCAAATATTATTACTTGTAATTGCATGCAGGAGTTACTGCATAAATAGATATAATTATTGACCAATTTAATCATTGTGATATTTTTGCATTGTATCACGTATTCGAATATAGTGAGTAGAGTTTTCAAATTGGAGGAGAGAGTTATCAATGCTTATGTTCTGACTTGGAATTTACGGTTATCTCCCTTTAATCCTCTCTCTGCTTTGTTTTATTTCTTTTTTTGTTTAATGTACATTTTATTTTAGCACATAAAATTTGGTAAGGCGTGAGAAAATTTTAATTCCGAAAATGCGTCCCAGAGAAAATTAAGTTTGTGAAGCATTGGAAGAAACACAGTACATAGAAGAAGAAGAAGAAGAAGAAGAAGAAGAAGAAGAAGAAGAAGAAGAAGAGGAGGAGTACAAGAAGAAGAAGAAGAAGAAGAGGAGGAGTACAAGAAGAAGAAGAAGAAGAAGGAAGAAGAGGAGGAGTACGAGAAGAAGAAGAAGAAGAAGGAAGAAGAGGAGGAGTACGAGAAGAAAAAGAAAGAGGATTAGAAGTACGAGAAGAAGAAGAAGAAAAAGAAGAAGAAGAAGAAGAAGAAGAAGAAGAAGAAGGAAGATGAGGAGGAGTACGAGAAGATTAAGAAAGTGGATTAGAAGTACGAGAAGAAGAAGAGGAAGAAGAAGAGGAAGAAGGAAGGAAGAAGAGGAGGAGTACGAGGAGAAGAAAGTGGATTAGAAGTACGAGAAGAAGAAGAAGAAGAAGAAGTAGAAGAAGAAGGAAGATGAGGAGGAGTACGAGAAGAAGAAGAAAGTGAATTAGAAGTACGAGAAGAAGAAGTAGAAGAAGAAGAAGAAGAAGAAGAAGAAGAAGAAAAAAGAAGAAGGAAGATGAGGAGGAGTACAAGAAGATTAAGAAAATGGATTAGAAGTACGAGAAGAAGAAGAGGAAGACGAAGAGGAAGAATGAAGAAAGAAGAGGACGAGTACGAGAAGAAAGAGGATTAGAAGTACGAGAAGAAGAAGAAGAAGAAGAGGGAAGATGAGGAGGAGTACGAGAAGGAGAAGAAGAAGGAAGAAGAGGAGGAGTACGAGAAGAAGAAGAAAGAGGATTAGAAGTACTAGAAGAAAAGAAGAAGAAGAAGAGAGATGAGGAGGAGTACGAGAAGAAGAAGAAAGAGCATTAGAAGTACGAGAAGAAGAAGAAGAAGAAGAAGAAGAAGAAGAAGAAAGAGGAGAAGGTGTTCGAGAAGAAGAAGAAGAAGAAGAAGAAGAAGAAGAGGTGGGGTACAATAGTAATAATAATAAGAAGAATATGTATTTATGAGAATGTAAGTTAAATCTGTCTCTCATAACACACCTGGGAAATGCTGTTACTCCTATAGACAACCTTGACAAGAGTTTTCAGAATAGAACAATAAAAGAGTGAAAGTCCAATTTAATTGGTCTCTAAACATTTTGACCCTGCTTGATCTCAAGCTGTTAACTGTAATTAATGTAGAAATATTTTATTTCGCGACAGGAACAGATATTTTTGATCAACATCCTCATAGAATGTTAATCACGAAAAATTAGCAGGTTGTATAATCTCAGGTGTTAAAAAATATAACTCAATTAAAAACGATAAAAATGCGACGATGATTTTTGGGGGAGGGGCGGTAAGGTAAACAACATCTTCTGTATTTCAAAGATATTTTTTAAATAGGAAACGAAATTTAATTTCCTACAATCGGTAAAAGATATGTTTTCCTTTTCTTTTATAAGGACACACATCGAAGAAATAACGTGTGAGAAATTGAAAACTGAAGACCAGGTAAAGAGGTGGGAGATGTGGTTGAGAAAGAAAAGACGGTGGATGATGAGAAGTTTGATTTAAAAATATTGAGAAAGTGAAATATAAAGTCAGTAAGAACGAGAGAAGACGAAGAAGAGATTTGAAAGCTGTTTTTACAAGAGAAGAACAAATGAATATAAGTATTTTGATAACAAAATTTATTAAGATCTGGCAACTGAAAGGTGAAAAGCCTGTCTGGTATCATTCAGGTTTGGTTTGGTTTCGTTTGGTTTACGGCATATCAACCTCAATGGTTTAATTAATGCCGACAAGATTCTTATTGCTGTTAATATTTCTTTTTCAAAAATGCATTGCTGCTAATATATTTTTACAAGAGAAGAACAAGTGAATATAAGTATTTTGATAACAAAATTTATTAAGATCTGGCAACTGAAAGGTGAAAAACATACGGCATATCAACCTCAATGGGTTTATTTAATGGCGAAAAGATTTTTATTGCTAATAATATTTCTTTTCAACAATGTATTGCTGGTAATATTTTTTTCAAAAAAAAACGTATTCCTGGTAATTTAATTTTTCCTTCAAAAATGAATCGCTGGTAATATTTTGACAAAAAAATGTATTGCTGGTATTAAAACCTATTTCTACGCTTTCATAGTATTTTGGCACAAGTTTGCGTGTTAACTATTTGCCCATAGCTGGGACCCTGAAAGGTGCTACAACCCCGGGGAACACCAGCAATTAAAAGGTGGTTTCACGCTCCTGCAAGCATCCTGATCAAAAGATTTGCTGTTGCATATAGTTTAGCGTCTTACCCAAGACGTAGATATAGTTTTTCTTCGTACCCAGAACGGTTTAAGTATTCATTGCTGTTTCAATTTTTAAAAGTTGTTATGTTTATTCCACACCCTCCACAGACAAATTATACACATACGAACTAATTAGAACTTCATAGAGACCTTGAGGTATTATGGTGACTGTAGTAAGAATGGTAAGTAAGAATGTGTTGTTTTGGTGTAAGGAATACTGTAATATCTTTGGGCCAATAATTGTGGCCAGCTAAGTTTAAGACAAGACAGATTCCCCTATCCACCCGCTTTTGGACTTCTGCCACATATTTGTATTTTCGAAATTAATATTACTTTCCTCTGTGGTGCCTAGAGTTCTATGAATTTAAGCGCCGTACTAGATTGGCGCTTAGGTGTCATTATTTTATAGTTGAAATGTAACCGTAAGTTCTATGCTAACAGTTTCTTTTATCACACTTATCGCTTGTCAAAGTCTCTCCATGCTTTTTTCTCCCGAGTGAACTTTGATCTTCAAAAATTTAAATGCGACGTTAATCGTTATCTGCTGTTTTAATTCTTTTTCTTTTTATTGCTCTCTCTCTTTAATCGTATATTTTTCTCATACTCCGTAACACGCAGCAATTCTACTTGCATTGTAGTGGCTTTATTCTTTTGCTTGGGCTGAAATGATTAAAACCAAATTAAGAAAGGCTGAATAAAAAGTAGATAAATTAAAGAAAGGAGAAAGTTTTCGGTTCTTGGAGAGAGAAGTAAAATATAAAAAAGAAAAAAAGAAAGCTGACATGTACATAGAAGAAATTACAGTAGAATCCCTGACAACCGCATTAAAGAAGGCCTTCCGAATATGAGGAATTGGTTACAATGTCCGAATATGAGGCGTTTATTTAGATTAAAATAAAAGAACTGAAATCCGGCTTAACAATTATTTCCAATGTTTTATAGTATACAAAATAAACGAATGGTGAGTGAAATATAATGGAATTGATTTTAAGGAAAAAAGAAATAATTATGTAATGTAGCTTTGTGTATCAGAGCAACTTTTTTTTTGCTTATGACAATCGACGTTTTTACATAGAATCTTATTTTCTTATAAAATAGAATCCCTGACAACCGAATTTAGAAAGCCTTCCGGATATGAGGAATTGGTTACAAAGTCCGGATATGAGGGGTTATATTTAGATTAAAATAAAAGAACTGAAATCAGGTTTAACATTTATTTTCAATGTTTTATAGTAAACAAAATAAGCTAATGGTGATTAAAATATAATGGAATTGATTTTAAGGAAAAAAGAAATAAATTATGTAATGTTAATGAAAATTTATTAAATTAATTATGCCACGTATGCCAAACAAATAATGTAACGAGGATTTTTTAATTGCTGTTACATGATGATTTTTTTCTCTTCTAATGTCATTCTCAACTTTTTCCACATTTCATTTTGCTTTTGTTCTTGAAATTTTTAACTGCGTGCGTTACTGCAATTGTCATAGGCGAATGCTGGCTTTCTTTCCATAAAACTGATACCCTTTTCAATAGCTTTTTCAATTTCAGGTCAGGTTTCACTCACAGTCAGGTATTTTTTATTTCCATGTTCATTGTGACAGTGTGAATGCTGGAGAATAGTTTCTTTGGAAGATTTTATATCATCCAATGTTGACTTTCCTATGTTGAACTCAGCCATTAGTTACAATGAACTTTCACCAGCGTCTAGTCTGTTTAAAATTTCCACATTTGCGATAACTCCAAAGTTTTTCTTTTCCTTTTTATTCCCATCATCTTTTGCACCTATACAAGCCATTAGCGAGAAATAAGTATTATTGCAATTGTCATAGCTTTCCATAAAACTGACAACCTTTTCAATAGCTTTTACAATTTCCGTCCAGGTTCCATCGCTATCATGTTTTTTTATTTTATTTCCTTGTTCATTGTGACAGTGTGAACGCTGGAGAATATTTTCTTTGGAAGATTTTATATTATGACTTTTCAAAATAGTTCAAATATACACATCAAAATCATGTCCGAATATGCGGAATTCCTGATGAGGGACACTCCGGATATGAGGGATTCTACTGTATTTAAAATTCAGTTTTTATCAAACTAAGACAATTTGAGATGTTAGGATAGTGAAAATTCGTCCAAGACTATATGATGTCAGTTCCTAAAATATGTTCTGTTTCTGCCGGCAAAATGAGAACACGAGAAAGTGAATATTACATTATATTCTGCTACTGAATTCGTGAATTGTTCACAGACAAACTGTGGTATATGCGCCTACAGAATCCCGATCCACTACCTGCTCATTATATTAACTTTGTGATGTGTGCGAAACTGTCCATTCCTTCTCTTATGTGGTTTTAACATATCCATCTACCCAACTGTCTCGTGCCCACATTTGTAAAACCGGATGCCGGTTTCATGTAACGGGTTTCTCTGGTTGAGAGTGATCTCGCAGGTCAACCCCGGCTTACGCACCTGGCTTCTTTGATGGTCTCTAATGTCTGTTAACGCATGACATTTAAGCAAAGGGGTAAACCATTTTTTAAAAATAATTGACCCCAAGCAAGGCGGGAGTGCCTATAGTACGCAAAGAGCGACAGAGAGTATAAATAAAGTTAAAAACTGGGTATCGTGTTTGAGGAAATGATAAAAAGAAAAACGGATAAGGATTTAAAAAAAAAATGACCGGGGATCAAGGCAATAGAAAATGTCGATTGACATAACATTTAAATTTTTGAAGATTATAGTATTCAGGGAAGCAAGTAAGAGAAACGGAGTTCCGCTGTTGAAAAGTGGTAGATAAGAAGCTGTTGGAGTAGAAGAGGCGGTTGCATTAAACTGTTTCGACAGTAAAATGGTAGGACCGAAACGTCAAACTAGTAGCACGCTTAAATTCATGCAACGCGGGCACTAGTAAACTTTAAGTAGCTTCATCGAGAAAGAATATAGTCGCCTTGTATTTATCTCTTTGAATTTAATTATGTATTTATTTTACTTTCTCTTAGTCCTTCTCCTCTTTCCTGGTTACTAACGTTTCCTTTCTTTTTTCTTTTATTTTTTGAAGTAAATTTATTCTAACTTCTTTAAAAAACTTTGAATAGTATGTCTTTGGCGGTTTTTTGTGTTCATACAAGCATTGAACGTTATATTTTAATCGTAGCTCACAACCGTTGGAATGTTCTCGTCTACAAGAATTCTGTTGGAACAAGGCTATGTTAGTATTATACCTTTCCTCACCTCGTTCGGCCGAGTTGGTGAAGTATTATATCCAGATCGTGTTCCAGAGATGTTTAGATGAAAAGTAAGACCGATTTGATGAAGGCACACGTTGTATCATGGATCAAGAAGAAGACAAACGCTTTCAGTAATATGTTATTTATCCACTAATATTCTGGTATATGTTTAGAGAAAGAAACCGTGTTTCAAATCAAATTGGTTTCAAAGACACTTATGTAATGTTCGTTTCACCAACCATGACTTAACTGAAAACTTGTGCAGTCTTCTGAAGTGATAGTTTTACGTTGATGGAGAGCCATGTACCAGAAAAAAGTAAAAATTGGAATATTCTGGACGCTATGCACTATGTTTCATATAAAGAAATACAAATGCTAAGAAATCCAGAAATGGATGAACGACTCTAAAAACTAGTTGAAGAATATTGACATTTTATCTATCTATCTATCTATCTATCTATCTATCTATCTATCTAAGTTAGGTACCTATATTTTCTTTCTTACTTTTTTCTTTCTAGTCTCCTCTCTCTCTTTTTTATCTATCTATCTATCTATCTATCTATCTATCTATCTATCTATCTATCTATCTATCTATCCCTGTTTGTCATCTATCTCGGTATGTTCATTATCTATCTATCTATCTCTCTATCTATCTATCTATCTATCTATCTATCTATCTCTGTTCGTCATCTACCTCAGTATGTTCATTATCCATCTATCTATCTCAGTTCATTATCTATCTATCTATCTATCTATCTATCTATCTATCTATCATACATAAAACAGTGAAGTTTGGAATATTATTCTGGGCGCTATGCACTATGTTTCATACAAAGAAATACAAATGCTAAGAAATCCAATGGATGAACGACTGTAAAATCTAGTTGAAGAATATTGACATTTTGCTTTATATAAAGGTTTTCTTCATAAATGGCAATTTTATAAAATATCTTCGTAAAATATTTGTCATTGAAAATGCGCAAATCCTGTAATTATAATTTTTAATGCCAATATTACTTGGAGTTTCAGTAAAACGTTTAATAAAATTAAACTTGGAAAATCAGGCAAAATTCATAAAACACTTGCTAGATTCAATGAGTTTCTTGCTGTCATTAATAATCTGTATATATTGTGTGAATGACGCTGCACAAAAATATTGCAAATGTTTTTGTGAATCTTTCCATTAGTTCTCTAAAAGTGGCCAACACCCTGAGACCCAATGCAAATTTAAAGAAAAAAAGAAGTGATAGATGCGACGAAAGAAATGAGAAAGAGAGGCACGATCAATAAAATAAGGGAGGGTGAGAAATGAGTAAAGGAAAAATAGTGAAAGAGAATGAAAAATGAATAAGAAAACGTTTGGTTTAGAAAATGTCATTGACATAGAAAAACTGCGCTAATGGATGCCAATGAATAAATAATTTTTTAAAAAATAGAATAATGAAGATGAGTCATTTAGACGTAAAGAAAATATAGGAAAGAAAGACGGAAACGGTAAAATGAGAGAAAAGAAATAAGAGAGAAGGAAAAAGACTGCCAACTCGTTAGATAGATAGATAGATAGATAGATAGATAGATAGATAGATAGATAGATAGAACAAAGACGGTAAGAAGGTAGTAAAAAGTGATGTGACACTATACACTAAGAAATAAAAAAGAAAATTTCATACTAAGTGAAAAGGCAGAAAAGTAAGAAAAACTAAAATAAAAAGAGAAAGGAAGTAATAAAAAGAAAGGAGAAAAAGACTAGAAAGAAAGAAAATATAGCTATCTAGCTCAGATAGATAGATAGATAGATAGATAGATAGATAGATAGATAAAAAAAGAGAGTGGGAAGACTAGAAAGAAAAAAAAAGAAAGAAAATATATCTACCTAGCTCTCAGATAGATAGATAGATAGATAGATAGATAGATAGATAGATAGATAGATAGATAATGAACTGCTATAGATAGATGGATAATGAACATACTGAGATAGATGACGAACAGAGATAGATAGATAGATAGATAGATAGATAGATAGATAGATAGATAAAAAAGAGAGGGAGGAAGACTAGAAAGAAAAAGAAAGAAAGAAAGAAAATATAGCTATCCAACTCAGATAGATAGATAGATAGATAGATAGATAGATAAAAAGGAAGAAAAAAGGCAAGAAGCTAGTAAAAATAAGAGGACATTAAATAAATAAAACATTTAAAAAGTAAAAAGTGAGAAAAAAGAAATACTAAACGGAAAGAAAGGGGAGAAAAAGAAAGAACAATAAAAGAAGAAAGAAAGAAAGATAGAAAGGAAGAAAGAAAGAAAGAACGAAGAAAAATCATGATTACAATGAAAAACTGTAAGAAACAAGTAAAATGAAAAGAAATGAATGAAGCTAAGTGCAAGAATAAATAAAATCCATAAACGAACAGCGTTACCCAAAGAGAGTAAAAACAAACAAACAAACACTGACATTGATAATTAAAAATAAGGAAAACTTAAAACTGTCCATTGTCTGGGAAGGTTGGATGGCATTCCAACAGCCAACACAACCCCCACTGCAACTAAATTGGAAGTAGCAAGATACCACAGTTACAACCTTGTGCAAATTAACTGAAAAAACCTCCTTAGTTTCCTTTCGCCATACGGTCAGTTTTAGACCCCTGGAGTGATAGGGTGTAATCAATTTCTATTTTTCCTCAGATTAGGTTATTTGCAGTGGTGTGCAGTAATATGAATCTATTTTCAGTGTGTATGATGAAATTTTCTTAGCCTTAAAAAATATTGCGTCATCAATGATTGCATTAGATATTCATTACGCCCATACACTATTGTCTCGACTGTTGCTTAGTTGTCCTACGGCCATTGTCTGCGACGGACGTTACTCCAAGGAGGCGTACGAAAATTGTAACGCTGCACGAATACACTGGCAAGCATTAACAGTGAGCAAACCAAAGTACTATAGGCTGGCCCGGAATCTCTCCCGATTTAAATCCAATCGATAATCTATGTTCAATCTGCAATGAAAGACTTCTTGGAATGGACATACGAATTGCTAACATGTGCATTGATCATGTTTCATTGGAAAAATGCGAAAAAAATTTAAATAATAACGGAATTATTGGTTATTATTTCAATTAATTTGCAAGAAGGTGTATGTCAAATGCCTTACTTTAGGCGAGGGGACAATGTCTTGCATTTCCATTTTAAATATGGCCTTGTGCCACATTCCGTTCGAGTTGGCGCTGGTATAAATACATTTACAGATCGAAAAACTATTCATAAACTCAAAGAATCATTTTGCTTCTATTTCGGCCTAATTTCTCGAAATTGTTTCTCATTTTTCTTTCACCCCTTGTCCGTTTCTTTCCATTTCGAGAATCATAATTCCCGACTTTCTCTCCTTCAAAATTTTCTTTTTTCTTTACTCTATTTTTACTGCCTTTTTACTTTCTCTTTTACCTTCTCTTTTACCTTCTCATTTTTACCTTTTCTTTTACCTTCTCCCTTTTACGTTTTCTCTATTTATCTTCACTTTTACCTTCTCTTTTACCGTCTCCTTTTTACTTTTTCTTTTTGACCCTCTCTTTTACCTTCTCCCTTTTACGTTTTCTCTATTTATCTTCTCTTTTACCTTCTCCTTTTTGCCTTTTCTTTTTTTCATGTTTTGTTTTTTACCTTCTCTTTTACCTTCTCTTTTTTACCTTTTATTTTACCTTCTCCTTTTTTACTTTCTCTCTTTTACCTTCCTTTTTACCATTTATCTTTTGTACATTATCTTTTACCTTCTCCATTTTCCCTTTTCTCTTTTTTATCTTCGCTTTTACCTTCTCCTTTTTACCTTTTCTCTTTTTCATGTTTTGTTTTTTACCTTCTCTTTTACCTTCTCCTTTTGACCTTCTTTTTTACCTTCTCCTTTTTTACCGTCTCTTTTTTATCTTCTCTTTTACCTTCTCTTTTTTTACCTTTTCTCTTTTTCAACCTTTGTTTTTACCTTCTCTTTTACTTCCTCCTTTTTACTTTTTCTCTTCTTAACCATCTCTTTTACCTTCTCTTTCATTCTGTTGCTTTCCACTCTCTTCTAGATTCTCTCTCGCTATCTCCTTTATCTTTCATTTTCTCCGTTCGCGGAAACTTGCCAAGAATGCTGAGGATCCGCCAAAGCGTGATGAAGAACGCTTTACAGAGAAGTTAATTTAATTACACCTGCTCTAAGAAACATCGTTTAATTCCTATTTTTATTTTATTGTACTTTGGAGACAGGCCTTATTTAGAATCATAAAAATTAGATTTGGTGTTTCTGGGTTAAAGTAAAATAAATTAAAAGAACAAAGGACGAACTAATTGTCTGCATTCGATTGACTATTGCACACGCAAAGCGAAAAATGTCAAGTCCCAATTAAAATGAACAAAAGTAGAAGCCAATCAGCTACGATACGTTGGTTTCTGAGTGACCAATCGTTTAATAGCAATATTTTTTAGATATTTTTTTTTAACAAGGTCATTTTACGCACCAAACGTCGTCCTTTTAAAAACAAAACAAGTACCATTTGTTAGCATATACAGGGTGTCTAAAAAGTCTCTTTGCAATTTTACAATTATATTTCAAAGGAAATTGATCTGTCACGACAACAATATGACTTTCCGTCCTCCATTATTTTGCAGCAAGATGGTGCATTATCACATTTTGGACTGCATGTCCGTGGGTTCCTAAGTCAAATATTTCTAGAACCACCGATTGGAAAAGAGGACCCAATTTCCTGGCCACCTCGCTCACCAGATATCATTCCCTGGACCTCTTTCTATGGGTTTATGTTAAGGATATCGTGTATCAAACAAAGATGCGAGACATTACTGATCTAAAGCAAAAAATCACTGATGCCATTGCCACCATTGATGAGGCTATGCTACAGCGAACATAGCAAAGTCTGGATGTGTTTCGTGGAACTAATGCTCCCCATATAGAGGTGTATTAAATTACTTTAAAAACATCTATATCTAAGCCTCATTGTATAACAATTTCCACATATTTGTCAGTTTATTTGCTAATGTAATAATATTTTAAAATTGTAAAATGACTATATTGACACCATATATATATATATATATATATATATATATATCAAATTGAATGACGTCAGCACTCAGAGGCGACAGGGTGTTTCATGCTAGACGCAATCGTCAGGCCGCGACTGTTGGACTTTTCTCGATTATTTATATATATGGGTCATTGGTGCATTGTGCATTCTGGCGGTTATTTAAGCAGGAGTGGCTTGTTTATTTATTTATTTTGGTTAATTTTTTTTACTTGTTTTTTTTATTTTATATTTATTTATTCTTTTCGGTTTTCGATGTTTTATTATCGTAGTAAAAAATTGGGGGGTTGTTTAGGTCACTTATTTAATAGTTTGTTTTGGTCTGGGAAGATAAAGCTATTTATCCGTGCAAATTTGGATTGATTGCCGTAGTCTATTCTGCTATTTGGGCGGGAGACAGTTTTTAATTTATTTATTATTTTGTTTATTTATTTGGATTGATTATTTTTAATTATTTTGGCATATTTATGGTTATTTTTATTAGTTCTAACGGTTATTTTAGCGGGAGCGATTTGTTAATTTGCTAATTTATTTATTTATTAGGATTATTTTTTTCTTATTTATTTGCTTATTTTTTAAATATTTTTATTTACTCTATTCGGTTTTCGAATTTTATCGTTATATAGCATTTATAGAAATTTTCTCGCCGAATTTTATTGTTGTAGCCTATTCTAACGGTTATTGGTTTGTTAATTTGTTTATTGTTTACTTTATTTATTTGGATTGATTATTTTTACTTGTATTTTATGTATTTATTTTTTCTTTTTATTTGTTCTATTTCTTCTATTCTAACCGGAGTGGTTTGTTAATTTGTTTATTATTTGCTTGGATTAATTTATTTTACTTGTTTTTTTATATTACTTTGTTTATTTTTATTTATTCTTTTCAGTTTTGGATTTTTAAGTAACGTAATAAAAATTTGCTTTCATGTCTGCATTTTGAGATGATCTCAGATCGTTTATTTAGTAATTTATTTTGGTCTTGGAAAGTAATAATAGCTATTTTTCTGCCAGGCAAATTTTGCAGGTTTTGGATTGGTTCCATGATATGTTTGGTGTGATTTGCGTTTTTGTTATATATATTTTGTTAGATATACCTAGAATAGCATTGTGCTGCTCGCGTATTTACTAATTTTGAAAGATGTTTTGTGTGCATAGTTTCTTTGTTTTCAGGGGCTTTCAGTTAATTCTATTTTTTTTTCTTCATTATCTGGTGATTTTCCAGTAGCTTGATATATTACATTGTTTTGTAAACAATTACCGTTTAAAGGACATTCATTCTTTATTCTACAGTTACACGTGGGTTTGATTTGTTTGGGTGGTTTGTTAATAGTTTTCCTGTTGTGCATTTTTATTATTTGTGCCATGTTCTCGATGCAAATGTAGCTGATTTTTATAGTGTTTTTATTGAATATTTTGTGTAGAGTGATTCCGTGAAGTGTTTGTTTAAGAGTTCGAAAAATATTTTACCTACGTTTGTTTTTACGTTTTTGCTGTACGGTGGGTTGAACCATGTGATATTTCTCTTCCTGTTGGCCATTTTTCTGCTCTGTGATGAATATGTGAGTGTTGCCGGGAATCCACTATATTTTAGGGCTGTTTCGTAGTCTTTCCTAGCTTCGTTAAATATGGTTTCATTTGAAGAATTGTTGGAAAGTATGTGGTTAATCGATTTTAGTATCTGCTGTTTATTGAAGGCGGGTGATTGGAAGATATGTGTATATAGAATGGTTTATCATTAGGTTTTCTGTATGGTTTATATATGCCTTTTCTTAGGTTGTAGGTAACATCTAGAAAATCTACTTCGTTTAGGTTAGTTTTTATATCTATGTCAAATCTGTTATTTTTGCAAATCTTTATAATTGCTTTTCTAGTTTTGTCTGCTATGATTGGGTAAAATTCTTTTATGTCCAATTGCACAAATTGGCAATTATGTTTGTTATTTATGCTGTGGAACCAGTCAATAGTTGCAGGCAATAGTCGATCTGCGTGTCGACTTCAATGCTTATTTTTATATTTATATTTACATATGCTCTGATATTGCGCACTATATCCCGTAAATATTGCACACTTTAAAACTATATTTCTGCGTGTACATATATATATATATATATATATATATATGTGTGTGTGTGTGTGTGTGTGCGTCCAAATATGTATGTATATATAGGAAGATACTAAACCATTTTGCTACCTTCAAATTATCTTCGGATCCAATTGATATACAGAATATATATAACGTCTCTTTACAATTATAAACATATATAACAAAGGCAAGTGATGTATCAGCAAAACTACACGACCTTCAATCAACCACCATTTTCCAGCAAGATGTCCCACCATCACATAGGGGACTGCAAGTTTGTGGGTTCTTAAAGCAAACATATCCAAACCAATGGATTGGAAAGGATGGCCCAATTCCCTGGCCACCTCGCTCACCCGATATCATTCTCCTGGACTTCTTTCTATGGGGTTATATTAAAGATATCGTGTATCAAACAAAACAGACATCACTGATCTAACACAAAAGATCACTGAGGCCATTGCCAGCATTGATGAGGCTCTGCTATAGCCAACATATCAATAAACTGAATACCGTTTTAATTTATTCAGAAATCATAACATAAATATGTTATAAAATGACTACAACAATAGCCATTTTGTTTCAACACATCTGGTGTCTTATGAAATGATGGTGTTGAATATAGAATAAAGGGTTTAAAAGGTGCAAATCAATCAAACATCCCTTATTCCGTATACACCAATCCTATACTTGGTTTATATATATATATATATATATATATGAAGATACAAAGTCAAGTCATTTTTGCTACCTTCAAAATATCTTCGGATCCAATTGATATACAGAGTATATATAAAGTCTCTCTACAACGTAAAAACATATATTAAAAAGGCAACTGATGTGGCACCAAAACTTGCTGACCTTCAATCAACCACCATTTTCCAGCAAGATGGTTCACAATCACATAGGGGACTGCATGTTGGTGGGTTCTTAAAACAAACATTTCCAAACCAGTGGATTGTCAGGGATGGCCCCATTCTCTGGCCATCTCGCTCTCCATATATCACTGTCCTGGACTTCTTTCTATGGTGTTATGATAAAGATATCTTGTATCGAACAAAGATGCGAGACATTACTGATCAAAAATCAAAGACCACTGATGACATTGCCACCATTGATGAGGCAATGCTACAGTGAACATATCGGAAATATTTTGAATTTATTTGTTTAAACGTTATTTTGTAAATGGATACTCATGTTTGAGTAGATGATCTGTTATTCTAACAAGATTTCTCGAATATTAAGGCCGGTATGTATAAATAAATAAATAAATATACTATGAAATAAATAAACAAAAACAGAACAGCTAATCAAATATGAGTATCAATTTCGAAAATAAGTGTTAACCAAATAAATTTAAAACAAAATACACCTGTCGGATTTAATCCATTTCCTAATCTAATATTATTTTATAGATAACCTCTTTAATTATTTCTTTAACAATGTGAATTACATTTATTATAAACTATATATGTAATACGTACAAATATATATATATATATATATATATATATATATGAACAGATACACACCCATATATATAGATAGATAGATAGATAGAGAGAGAGAGAGAGAGAGAGAGACAGATAGATAGATAGATAGATATTATGAAATGGACTAAGTCCGAAACTTATTTTAATATATTTTCTGTCTGTACGTTATTTTTATAAATACACTTTTTTAAGTAAATATTCTGTTTATAATAAAAGTATTAATTACATTAACCTGCCTAAATATCCGAGATAATTCGTAGAAAATATGTGTCCTCCGACAGGAATCGAACCTATATCCTACACGAAAACTGTCATGTTATATCATTTACCTACAGAGGAAGTGTCTGGTTAGCAATGTCAAATTACTTTTTTACATATATATAGTGAAGGAAGCAAATATTTGTACACATAAATAATTTAATTTATTGTATTACCAACTAATGAATATACATACTTTGCATACAATAATTAACTGTACACAGATGCATAATATCTAAATATGCAAAGAAAACAAAAAAAATGGTTTAAT